CCCCAAAACCCCAAAACCCCAAAACCCCAAAACCCCAATTTAAAATATGAGAATTGAAGTAAATAGACAAGATATTATTGATGCAATTTTATTTATTTTAGTCATCTCTCCAAAGCACTGGCACTTCGTCAGTTCTAAATCTTTGAGTGAATGTGCATTCTTCAAATGGAGTTCCTTTGTTCTTAGCTTTGTACTCCAGAATTCCTGCGTATGCAATCATTGCACCATTGTCGATTCAGTATCTATCGTCCATTGCACAGACAGAGGCACCTCGTTCTTGTGCCATCACTTCCATCATTTGCTGAAGCCTCACATTGCAGCCGACACCTCCGACAAGCAGCACACTGTCCGAGTTGCAGTGGGCCATTGCTCTTTCAGTGATTTCAACCAACATGGCGAAGATTGTTTCTTGGAGGCTGTAACAGAGATCTTCTTTAGAATACTCTTTATGTTCCTCAGGCTTTGATTTCTTTCCTTTCTTTCCTGGCTTTTTGCCCAGGACCATTTCTTGGATGTTGGATAGGATTCCAGAAAAACTGACATCCATGCCTTTGACGATGTAGGGCAACTCGATGTAGTTCTTGCCAGCTCTAGCCATTTTCTCGATGTTGGCTCCTGGTGACGGATCATTCGATAAATTGATTACTCTGGCAAACCTGTCCAGACAGTTTCCAACTGCAATGTCAAGGGTTTCTCCAAATATCTGGTACTTCTGTTGGGTATAAGCAATGACCTGAGTGTTTCCTCCGCTGACGTACAGGATCGTTGGGTTCATAGCATCAGTGACCACTCTGCCCATTTCGATGTGTCCAATGCAGTGATTTACTCCAACAATTGGTTTGTCGTAAAGTTGGGCTAGAGTCCTAGTCACAATAGCTCCAACTGATAGAGGCTGAGCCATTCCGGGTCCTTTCGTGTAGCAAAACACATCAATATCTTCGAGCTTAATGCTGGCTTCTTTGAGAGCTTTTCGAATCAACATGAACACCTGGCTTCTGTGATGCTCAGCAGTTTCTTTGGGCATGAAACCTGTGCCTGGAGGAGTGATGTACGTTTCTCGTGGGTTCGCAAGGATGGTTCCGTCATCTTTAACAATACCAACTCCAATTTTGTTAGCGCTACCTTCTATGCCAAGTGCAATCATTGTCCACTAATATTCAATATTTATTTTAAGATATGGGGTTTTGGGGTTTTGGGGTTTTGGGGTTTTGGGG